CTCATTGTTTATTATTGTACCATCATTGTTAATTACCTGGAGAGTACATATATAAGTACATATATTGACTTGACGACCAAAAGTTTATCAAGACGTTTTACATTCCATTTGTCGGATATAAATTCTAACACATAACATTTAAAGATACATTTCTGTCCACATTTACAATATAGGAAAATACTTGTTGACAACACCAATATACAGCATCATGAAAATAATAAACAAAAACTACAAATTCTCGAGGCCCTGTATATCAAAAGCCACCAACCAACACTCAGCAAAATGTATTACGAGTGTATTAGCAATGTTTTAAAAGAGTGTTGTTGCATTTTTACCATCTCTGGTTAGCTCCCTTATATTGTGGACGCTTCTTTTCAAAAAACACCAGAGTTACAACGGGTAAATTTAAAATTTGAACTAAGGTCTGCTCAGCATTGTTGCACTATAAATCACACGTTGGCTCTGTGGGTGTTCAACAAACACAAATGTGCCTGAGTGATTGGCTAGTCGCCCTGGATACACGATTACGAGTGTCCAGCTCTATATACATACATACAATTTAAAGCAGTGACAATTAAGAAATGTTGCCATTGTTTTAGCGCTTCGACTATGGTATAAGCTACTTTTCCGACAGCTGAATGTCTGTGCTCGGGTTTTGACAATGTTCTTGAGAAGAAGATCGCTACAGGGCGCCCGAATTGCTTTAACGCGGCAGCTATGTTGTGGTCGAAAGCTTCGGTCTCTAATTCTAGAGAAATGTAAGAATTCTCTGAAGTGATGGTCGAGTTGGCAATATTCCTTTTTAGCCCGTCAAAGACGTAAAGAAGGTAAAAGAACTTTGGTCATTTTAGTTGTAAGTGAGTGTATTTTCTTCAGAAAAAAAATAAGAATAATGAGCGAACATATCCATGTTTCGTAGTAAGGCAGCTATGGTGTTAGGAATAGGTAATTTTACAAGTAGTTGTAACCGTTCATAGTCCGGCTTCATGATTCCTTTATCCACAATATACCCAAGTAGTCTGATGGTTGTCGACCCATAAGAAGTCTTGGTCGAGTGTAAGATTTTATTTCTTGACAGCCGCCCCAAATCATTTTAGGGTGTGACTGTGGTCGATCCAGACATGGTCGCACACTGTCACATTATCTTTGTAGGCAAAGGTGTCTTGCAATTTTTCTTAAAGAATTATTTTATTGAAGACCCTCTGAAAACTGGAAACCACGTTAGTGACCCCAAACGGAATCCGTCGGAACTGATTAAGTCGTCCGTTCAAAAGCCGTATAAAGCTTATCTTTAGTATTTATAGCTACTTGGTGGTAAACACGCCTTACGTCTAACGTTCTATATTTGGCGATTTTGTTTATCATTTCATCAATAGGGTGTATAGGCTATGCATCCAAGAGGGTTTACCTATTTATAGCTTTGGAGTAGTCTATGACCAACCTCTTTTTTTTTATTATTATCAGAGGATTTTATTAATACTTGTGCCTTTCATGGCGATTTGATTTCTTTGATTATTCCTTCTCTTGTTATTTCTACTTGAATAAATATTTTGTCTTCAATAGAATATTTTCGCCACAAGTTTAAAGTTTTTGGTTAAGTTTTCGAAAAGAGCGAGGTATTGTACATTTATAGCGTCCAAACCACAGATCTTAAACACCAATTCAGGGCCTCCAAAAGGGAGATTAATACTAGAATGGTGTTTGAGCAAATCATGGCCCACTATGACATCGCAGCACAGATTTGGCATCACGAAAAATTCGGTGTTAGTGTACTTAGTTTGATTCAACTTTAGGCCGGCCAAAATATATCTTCCGATCTGCGAAGATAGTGAAGGGTTTACCATAGCCACCGGACTATTACAATTTACGATTATAAATCTGTTTCTATTTGCAATATCAACGCTAATAAATCTCTGAGCTTCCTGTGTCAACTAGAGCATTTACTTCCAACCCGTTTATTTTTGCCATTAATATAGCATTTGAAAGACATTTAGGGTTTGCTGTTGATACGATACTAGTCAAAATGAAAGCAGACGAACAAGGTGAAAAAAAAAAGCTTGATCGACAAACCTTAGAGAAATGTTTTTTTTTTCCCGCTCTTATGGCATTTAGTTTCCCTGGCTGGGCAACACGACCTGAGGTGTAGTTTGAGACCACAAAAATAACATTTTCGTCTGTCTGCAGCATTAGCAGTGTATGTGTCCTCCGCAGAGAGAAGATTTTAAGCTGGCGGAATGGTGGGGGTGTCAGAAACGAGGAAGCCTGCCGTAGAGGACTGTCTTTTTTTTTCTCTGTTTGGGTCGTTTGAACTGGTAGTAGGTGTGTGAGTACTTAGTGCATCCTCTGTAACACCATGTAGGTATGAACTCGATTGTTTTTCTTCCATCTCCAAGGTAAGTGCCTAAATCTAGTTCTCTAATTTACAGAAATCTTTGACGGATATAGTTGGATTCTAATCCATTTCTAAATAGGGCTCTGACAAATTCGTCATTTGCCTGATCTGCTGTGGTCGTGTGAAAATCGCAGCCTCAACTTAAGATTTTTTAAAAGCGGAAGATGCTATTCTAACTCCTCTTCAGGGGACTGGCAGGTAGTTGCTACTGCATGCCGGTCAAAGAATATGTTTCGTCTCTTCACAAAAATTCCATCCAAAATGTCTATGGAACTCTGATAAGATTTGCAGTGGGAAATATTGATATATACGGATATAGACGCGTGGTGCATTAGCAGATTAAGTCTATCTGTATCAGGAACAGGAGTGGACGAACTGTTGTCCAGTGCAAGCAAGAATCCTTCGAATAATCGTTTCCAATATTGCCAGGCGTCAGTAGAACACAGGTCTGTAGAGACGTTCTGGTTTAAGCTATTTGTCCATAATTGAGTTCAATGAATTGTAATGAAAACTCGGAGTCTAATTCGGCTTAATGTATCTTTATTGAATGTAAATGAAGAATCTTGCTGTTTTGGCTAAGACATTGTGACTTATTTAAACAAATTATAAAACAGGAGATGTAATCGGGTTGGCTTACCACAGATTGTGATGTGAAGAAATGTTTTTTCTAACTAAATTGTTAATTCGTTGAAGAGTTCTAACACTTTAAAGCTTATAGGAATTAGAAAAATATTGTTATATATTTGAAAAAAAAAAGGTATGTTAAGGAAGAACAGATTTAGATAAGTTTGCATCATAGAATTATGTCTTTTTATGAAAATTTTATTTTTGAGAAAACATCCAATTAGCCATTCCTGAAGAGTGAATGTGACTCCACGAAAACCCAGATAAGTAAACAAATTTAATTAATTTATTTATATTACTATTACTATTATTATTAGTATTGTTATCTTTAGTTCCTTCGCACTGATTTTCGTTTTCAACCGGAGGTCTTGCATGGCAGGTGTTCTCCATCAAGTAGTACGACCTTAAACAGGTAACACCTTTCGCAGGCCACATCACAACTGACATCTGTCCACCTAACTCTCCAGATTGGAACCACCTTGATTATTATGTGTGGGGTGCAGTTGAGCGAGAGACCAACAAAACTACTTGTAGCACCAACCATGAACTGAAAGCAAGGATTATGGCAGCATTCACCAACTTAAACAAGGAGGCCGCTCAGAAGAGTCATCTGGAGGCTGTTGTTGAGGCCAATGGCGATTTTATTGCATAAATTTGCTCTTTAGTATTTCAAGACATTTTTGTGGAATTTTGGTAAAGATATCTTTTAAAATGAGATGTCAGTGTTAGTTTCATTTTTGCATAATTAATACGCCAATTTATCCATCGCACCTGTATATATGCATATGTATCGTTTTATAGAACAAATAATAAAAAAAAACACGCTACACAGTAACATATAAAAATATGCAGATTAAAATATTTGGAGTGAACTCTAGTGATGGGGGCGTTATGCCTCCATTCATCAACCTACAGGACCCCAAACTCAACACGGAGGCCTATATCAAGTGCTTTAAGAGGTAGTGTTGCTCTGGTTCAACTGAGTGGCTGCTGGAATATTCTATGTCTGACAACAGGACTCTGCCCCATGCCACACAAGTTATAGCTGTCAGACCCCATCATCCCTTACATCTGTCCACCTAACTCTCCAGACTGCGTAACCCCCTTGATTATTATGTGTGGGGTGCGAGAGAACAACAAAACTCTTTGTAACAACAAAGATGAAGGCAAGGATTATAGATGTATTTTACCAACTTAAGCAAGAAGACCGTCCAGAAGAGATGCAGGAGACTCCGAAGTCGTCTGGTGGCCGTGGTTGAAGCCGATGGCGATTTCGTTGAATAAATTTACTCTTTCGTATTTGAAGGTATTTTTGTGGAATTTTGGTAAAGATATCTTTTAAAATGAGATGCGAGTATTACTTTCATTTTCGCGTAATTTATACGACAATTTATCCATCGCACCCTCTATTCGGCTATTGATAGTTTTTTTTTTTTTATTAGAATTCAGGCTTTCAGCTCTTTGCATGGATTCGAACGCTGACTCAAAGCGTTAGGTTCATGCAAAATCTGTTTCTGAAGCGAAGTGTGCGGTTTATTTCTGTTCTGTTACGAAGATAACATTTGCATATCAATGTGGTTTCATGTACGCATATGTGAATTGATAGGCGTGCTTATAGAACCATTGAGGCAAAAAAAAAAATCACAAGCAATAAAAAAGAAAACACAAGGATAATGAAAACAGGACCTTGAGAGGTTGGCATTTATCGATACAAACCACAGTAAACATTCCAAAGATCTCTTGGCCCGGCCGTAAATATGGAGACGGTGATATATAAATGAATATCTTCTGGCTGGAGTCATTATTCCAACGGGTTTTTATGTTTATCTTTCAGCCTTTCAAAGTAGACTCGCTTGACCGAAAGGCCAACCTCTTGAACCTCTTTTTAGAGTGGCCGTAGTTTTTGCTTTACTTTCTTTGATTTCATTTTTTTTGCACTGCTTTTCATAAGGTGGTTGTTTATTTTATATCGCTTTTCTTCAAGAGTTCTTGCTTTCTTTCTTTTACAGGATGGAATGATTTTTCCAGTGCCTTCCTTCCTACCTGAACTTCTTTTCTCTCTTATTTTTTTCCTTTCTTTTTTTAAAAATTGGCACTTGGTAATTTTCTTCACTTCCTTTTCTTTCCTGCAATTTCTCTCAATGGTTCTACGATTTTTCCTTTATCGGCACGCTTTTTCTTTTTTCTTTTTTTCTCTTTTTCTCCTATTTTCTTTCTTTTATAAGATAGTCTGTTTTTTTTTTATTCCTTTCCTTTATCTTTTTTTTTACTTTTCTTTTTTTTTACAAATCGTTCATTTGTTTCCTGCTCTTTCTCTCTATGCTGTTTTCAATTTTTTTTTATAGAGGCTTTTTTTTCTCTCTTTTTTTACATTCATAGTTTCTTTTACAGGATAGTCTGTTTATTTTTTCGTTCCTTTTTTTTCAAAATTAATAATTTATAATTAATTTGTTAATTTCTTTTATGAATTTTCTCTCCAATTTTTCCTCTTTGAAGATATTTCTTGTCTCTCTATATCTGTCATTTCTTCCTCCATTTTTTCATTTTGATTCATTTTTTTTTTTTTTTAATTAACTTATTCCGTTTTTATTTATTACAAAAACCGTTTTTACTTTTTGCCTTTGTTCAGTTCTGTTAGCTAAACTTTCTTAATCTTGTTCTATTTTTTTTTTTATTTAAAAGGATTCTTTCATTCACTGTTTGTTTTTTTTTGTTTTTTTTTAATAGCTTTCTTTCTTCCTATCTATTTTGTGGGATTTTTCCTTTTCAGGTTTTTATTCATTTTTTTTTTTTTTTTTTTTTTTTAAATCATTTTATAATTTTTGGGTGGTTCTATTTTTGTTTGCCGCTTTTATTCTTAATACTGCTTCCGGTTTCTTTGAAGCCATTCTTTCTTCATTTCTCAAGATGCATGTATTTCTTTTTATAATTTCATTTTCTTCTTTTCATACATTTTTTTTTCTCTTTCTTTTCAGTATAAAGTAACATTCGGTTTAATTTAATTTTTTTTAATGATGATTTTTATTGTTTTTTTTTCCTCAATGCTAGTTTTTTTTTTTTTTCTCTCTCTCTCTCTCTCTCTTTTTTTCTGAATACTTCTTCATTCCTTTTCTTTCAAAGAATTCGTTTCTTCTTTCTTCATTTCTTTGCTGACGTTATCCCTATGGTTAAAGCAGAATATTTATTCACGTTCTATTCTTAAAATCCTTAGAGGCGTCCTGGAATTTCCAATTTCAGAATAGGACACTTAAATAAATAAATAAATAAATAATTCTAAAAAAGACAAAGCAAAAAGGGGAAGATAACATTGGAACAAATTCCCTTTTTACGACATTGACCTGCATATCTCTATTCTCTTTCTTTCTTCTTCGCTTTCTTTCTTTCTTTCTTTGTTCAGATAAACCTCTTTTTTTTTATATCCGGATCTCGGAGCTGATTTATCAGAGAACAGAATGTGCGACACTGAAAGCCGAAAACACAATGAAATAGCGAAATGTGCCTTCCAAAAACCTAAACAAAATAGTAAATAGTAATAAAGAGAAACATTTAATTAGAAAAAAATAGTACAGTAGTGAATGCTGTATTGTCTTTTCACAGAGGAAGAAGAGACTTGAAGCAATAGAAATGTGTTTCTACAGAAGGATGCTAAGAATACTATGGACCGAACAGTTCTAAAGACAATGGAAACAAAAAGGACACTTATACATGACATCTTTAAGAAACAATTGACGTTTCTAAGGAACGTAATGGTAAAAGAGAGCTTGACGAATTTGATACTCACAGGGCAGATTGAAGGCAACAGAGTCAGGAGAGCAGAGCATAATCTATCATACAAGCAAGGGTTACATATTGGTAGGATATTTAGAATAATTGCCCCTTGTGTTAAAGAGGTTAACAATGTAGTGATCAGGGAAGCATCGTCACAAGTGTCTGTTCCATAGTGCAATTGTATCTGGGAAGAAGCCGTGTGAGGGGGAACTTATTCCTCGCCAGTGGATTATGGAGGAGATTAAGATGTTGACTCGATGTACGCGATATGACTTGTTCTAGCTGTGAAGGTCTGAACTTGTAGAACCAAAGAGTATAGTTCACCTAAACATCTTTGATGAAAATAGTGAAAACTAGTAAGAGGCTAGCAACATTTCATCTGTGAGAAAGGGGTTAAAAGAAGAAAAAAACAGTTCATCAACCACAAGGCCAAGTAAATACTTTTGAGGTTGAGTGAATGGATGGGCAGACCTCGTGAAGGTTTCATTAAACGCAAATTATCCTTGAGTATTTTGCAATACGTTTATTTATCATCTGTCAGGTGCGTCTCTGTCTTTGGCCCCACTGCGCTCAGGGGCGGCTCCGTCGAAGGAGAGAGACGCAACTGAGGAAGATTATACTGAGAGGTGGCGCCTTCCCATTGCACCGAGGTCAGCGCAACCGACGTTTGCGGGGGCTGTGGGCAATTTTTGTTCCTGGCTCGGGTGTCCGCGCTCGGGCTCCTCATATTAAACTAACCTTGTGTCACAATAATTTTACTCAGTTGCAAATCTCTACTTTGACCGGGCCGCCTCTGCGCGCACTCTGCCCAAAGACAGAGACGTAACTGAGAGAGGATAAATAGGGTGTTACATTTGGGGGAGATAGCGAAAAGATAAAATTATTAAGAGCAATTAAGAAGAAGAGATTGTAGAGAGCCGTGAGCACCAAACTTCCGAAAGAACATGGCACATCAAAGAAGAACATAGACTTCATAATCGTTAATCCTTTTAGCAATCTTTTACACCGATAATCCGATGCTTGTGTTAATAAAAAGCGTGATGTGTCCCAAGAAGTGATGATAATGATGAAAGAAAAATTATCGATTGATGCAAGTCAATGAAATAAATAAAGAAAAAAACATCAAGAAAAATTTTACATGAAACAATAGGAAAGCTAAAAACGATCTGACTTATCAATAAAAACAATATAGTAATTACAATGATTTATACATTGCGTCAGGTAATTAGGGACAAAAAATAATCTGAAGAATAACGATAGTCTCAGTGAATGGAAGTTCGAAAGAAACAAAGTCCATTTAAGGTAAGCAGTCTTTGCAATAAAGTGCTTGATATCAGAGACAGAGCATTAGTAGGAGTAATACAAATTTAAAATTTGCCACTTAGCTGAATTAAAATATTTTAGACATATGAAACTTTCAAAACAGAAAAGGGGTTATTAAAAAAAATCCACCATCAACCACAAGGACGGCGTTGATGTGACCGAGAAAAGGACTCTCTCCCTAGATCAAGACGTTCTCGTTCATAGGACCATCATGTCCACGTGATTGTCTTTTAAAAATACTTTGTATTTTAGGCTTACTTTTTGGTTCCCTTTTCGACGACAACCTAACCCTAGTAGTCTAGGTGAATAACATAAAGTGAGGTAAGTGACTACACGAAGTGACATAACCAGAAAAGCTAGTTACTCCTCGGTTCAACGTGCCATGTGGAATTGGTTGATTGGTTTTACGGCATGTATTAGGTTGGTGCAAAAATAATGACGTTATTTGAGGTTAAAAAATACATCAAAAAACGACATTATTACGTCATTATTTTTGCACCAACCTAATAGTTATTAGTTTATTCTTTTTACCTGAAGTGCTCGCAGTATAATCTTCAATATGATTAATATTCATCACTGGATTAGCTTCACAGACTGCAGTAGCATGCCGGAGTAGATATTGCACGCAATTCAAAGAGGTCAGTTTCACCATATTGCTTTGACCTGTAATCACAAACGGTCGCCGAATGTTACCCAACAATTTTCGCTACCGGCTTGCAAGAGTGGGAAAGATTTCGTAATACACGCGGTTATATAAACAACCGTCCAAGACATTACCAAGCAGCTTCTCACACAGACTGAATGTAAGGTCTCTCTGAGGACCGTTTTACACCACAAACTGGGCAAAGGTAACTGTTGAAGTCAGAACCTGAATAAAATGTAATGACAATTAATAAAGTGTCAACTTGCATTTTACCATTTTACCGGCACACACTTCAATACGTAGACAAAGAAAAAAGATTATGTTCAAAAGTAAATATTTTTTATGATTTTTGATGATCGTCATAAATTACTTTTTGTCAGAATTTGGCTTCAAAATTTTGGATATTTATTAGAATTAATTTAGTCTTTCGATTAGATTTGGGTTATTTTACATGTAAACCCTTGTTACGTTATTTAATGTGGTCTAAATTTTTGTATGGGGCAGGATCAAAGTCTCTAGTCAATCGGACTGGCCTCATTAACCAGTACCTCACGCTGAGGACTCTGACAAAAGAAACAACGGTAGGTCATCTCGTGAAGATTGAATTCACTGATTGTCTTGGAAGAGTAAGTAGAGAATTTATCTCTTCGTATCTCTAAATGGTGTAAAGATTTTTCCAAGCAGCCAGCTTAGATGTGCACACAGCCGAAAACATGGGGCATCAGTGAGGATCGAACTCACTTTTCAGTAATAACTGACTAGCAAGACAACCTCGCTAACCATTACACCGCCAGGTGCCCAATCTCTAAATGGTGTATGCGCACTGGACTAAACGGTGGCTCTCTCTACCCTGAGAGATGCAGGTTCGATTCCTACCGAAGACCGTAAATTTTTCTTTAATATTTCTCGAAATTTCAGGCCGGTACGTGAATATAAATAATTATACTGTTTCATATATAAACGGTATCCCTATTCAAATACGAGTGTCCACCAATGATAACTTTTAAAGTGATAAAAATCTGTCTGATTAATAAAACACCATTCCGATAAATTCTCTTTCCCTACTTTGGAATACGAAACTGTGCGCAGATATGAAAAACTTTGGCGATCATTGACAAAAGAACATTCGCTTAAAACTCTAAATTTGGTATAAAAGTCTCCTCGTGGCCAAACCGTACGTAGGTTATTATGGCTTTGTTGCAGAATTAAAAATAGTTTCAGAAAACGAATGTCAACGAAGTGAACAATAAAAAAAAAAATCAGTTCACGTTAGTCGTATCAGAATAAAAAGTGAACAATTTTTTTTACCAAAAGAAAAACAGTCACTTCGTGGATTAACTAGTCAGGTTGAGCATTACTACCAAGTAGTGAGTTCGATTCTCATTGGGGGCTTCATGCAAAAATCGATATTAAATAAACCGACAAGTGTTGGCATGTCAACTCAGAGAAAGAAAGAGTTAATTAATGGATGTATATTTCATCCACCATTTTTACTACTTCAAACGTTGTTATGGTGGATATTCGTATTTGAAATAAACGCTCCATTTTTATTTTTACTTTCAACAGTGTGTCCTCCATCAGTTGGCCTGCGTATTCGAGAAAATTTAATAAAGGAAATGAGCTGTTACCGGATCAAGATGTGGTTTCTCCTACAAAGGGTGACACGGGTTCAATTCCTGACGGAGAGCACATTTTCTTTATTAAAATTTCTTGATTACGCAAACTAATCTGAAAGATTTTGTTAGTTTGTCAAGCGGTATATCGACTCTTTATGGGTCATTTAATGCCAAAATTTTCTTTGGATCATTAGTAATTTTACAAAAATGTAATGCTGGTAATTTTTTATATTCTTTGCTTGTAATACTTTTTTTTTGCCGGTAACTCTTTTACTATTAAAATGAATTTTCTTATATTCCTAGTGTTGTGACCCCAGTTTGGCGGTTAACTATTTGACCCATATTTAGGACCCTAACAGGCTACCACACCGGGTCAGTGTAGGTCTGTAAACAATAGCAATTAAGATGTGGTTCCACACTCCTCAAACCTTTCCTAGGTTTCTTATCGTCATACCCAGCCAAAAAATGTAATATAGCAAAAAAAAAAAAAAAAAAAACAGTTAATTTGAAAATATTGAAAAAAAATATTGGAAAGTAAATATTTTCTGAATAGGAAGAGAACGATATTTTAATTGCGAGGGAAGTATCAACTCGGAAGAATTCTTGGGAAGAATTTGTCTGTATGGGATCT